AGCAATAAAATTTATATCCACAGTTAATGGTAAGATTTTCAAAGAAAGATGGAAGCATGATGTGGTTTAAATCGTCGAAATCTCTGATTCTTGCACTCTGTGCATGTTAGTTAGAGCCAATGTGACCGTGAGCACTTTCGAATTTGCAGACAGTTTTTTTCCCAGGTCCCTGAATGTTGACACATTTCGACCATTGCCTTTCCTGTTTTCTGTCCATCATGAAGAGCAAATAGACAAGAGGGCAGACAAAATCTAAATCAAAAAATAGTTTAATAAACTGAGATATAATAAAGAAGCTATTGGGCTCATTGAGTCAGATTTTTGAGAATTTTGAGCTTTTAACTAAATAAGTAAAGAAACTAACTGTGTGGTTTTTATGTAATACAGGTTCACCAACTCATCCTGCCACCCTTTTTAAAACCTTCCCAGTATTCTCAGTGGGTTTGATATTGTTCCTTTTTTATTTTGCTAAATATTTACATTGTTTATAATCAGATGAAAAGATTGATGTCACCCTCATGTCTGCACACGAAGCTACAACCAAGAGACAGTTAACGTTAGTGGGCAGCTACCGGGTCACAAAACAACTTTAAAACAACACAATCAAATAATAAACTGCCTTTATGAATGTACTGAAATGCTCCCGTCCTGTGAGGGATTTACAGACGTGATGTTACCGAATGGATCAGTCTCCCTGATTTTGACATGAAGTCCTGTGACAGGAACAGCAAAGGTATATTGATTGGAAACCTACAATAACCAATTAGGAGGAGATGACGGAGAGGCGTCATTAACCGGATGTTGCGTACCAACAATACATTTACTTAAAACTTCTTTTTGACTTACCTTCAGATCATGTATCAAAATGTGTTAGCTATGCTGATTACATCTCTTCTGGCTTGACAGTTCTTTTCTTGTATTTTGTTTTGCTCTGAAGTCACCCCCCCCCCAAAGAAAGATCAGTTAAACCTTATATATCCCGGCTATGTAGCTATCGCTTGACCAATACTTAATAGGAGCGAAAATAGTTTTTCATGTCAGTATATTCATTTTTCTTCCTCTAAATTGAACCACAGATACAGTTGTGCTCTGTTTCCAGTGGAATAATAATCATGTAGCAGAGCACGAGCTCATGAGAGGTGATTAACCCAACGGCAAAGGGCAGGTCTACTGGAGCTCTGAAAGCCTCCAGCTCATGGGTGAGTGCTGTCCATTAGGTCAGAGGATTAGCTAGGGTTAATGGAGTCGGAGAAAACAGGATATGCTGCACCACTGTAACTTTTCCAGTTCATAACCCTACATGAGATGTTTTTACTCTCACATCAGGGTTTAAAAGTTGTCTGGTCGACAAAGTGCTTCTTATTTTTCAGTTAGCAACCAACTCACCTCCACTGCAGATGGAGAAAAGAGATAATCTTCACATTCACGTCATAGAAACACTTTTGAATGACTTTTCATACTACAGTATGTTTTGGATATGTACATGTATTATCGCTGAGGTTATTTGCATTTGTTTGTTAGTTTGTTATCAGGATTAGGTAAAAACTACAACTTTCCAGAGGGGGGCAGCATGACCTGTTTTTCAACATTTTCATTGACTTTTCAGGGAATAATTAATGGATCTTGATGAAAAAAAATCCCATTTAGAGAACTCATATTCATGAGTATAAGCAATTTGGAGTAGAGCCACGTATAAATCAGGACCAGTGAATTTGAATGTGGTTTCATAAAGGGACTCTACTGAGTACCATTCTAGTTTATTCATTTATCTATTAAAAATTGGACTTCCAGTCAGTTTAGAGCATCCTTTTGTTTCATTTGATCGCAAATTCAGCAGTTTAAGTCAAGTAAATAATATTGAATGGTTGAATGTTGAGCAGTAAACTGCCCAAGATATAGAACAAAACACATTAAGGTCACAGAAATCTGAAAAATCTTATAACACAGGCCTTTGAATAGGAACTGGTTAAGTCTTTCTTGCAGCAGTGGATGTAAATGAAGCCTCGAACTTCTACAATCTTGATGACTTAAGAAACACTGAACAAAGGCAACTATGGAAAAAAAGTGTATTACTACACCATCTGATGCATGAGGATAATACTGTACTGCAGGAAGGTGTACTGTATATCAGGCTTCACATGATGAAGAGCAGCCCAGTGACCAGATTATCACTGAGCTGGTTTATAATGAACTGACAGAAGGTGAAAGAAAAGCAAACTACAAGTGCAACACACACTTCTGCTGCATTAAATGTTATTTAATTTCCATGGTCGAAAACATTTTTTGAATGTGTTTGGTTCCAACAAAAAGATTCCTTGTTTTTAAAATGGTTTATTTTTTTCAGTGATTTAATTTCAGCAACACTGAGATATTGAATAATGTACATTTGAACAACAGCCGGGGAGAAAATGTTGTTAAACCTTTTACTGGTTTACATATATAGTTTATAATATAAAGTTTATATATTTTGTGTTTAAGGCTTTGTGATTATCATTATAGCCCAGTTTCCATCCAAATTTAACGATTTAGATTTTTAATTTCCAACAAAACAATAAAAGAAAATAAATCAATCTGTCAGTATTAATTTGCTTAGTCTCTTTTCATTGCACTTTACAGCATTTTTCTTACTAACCTTAATGTTGGTATTTCTACTCTGGAAAAAGTGCATATAAACAGATGGAAATGCACTTTGTGTGTTGCCTTTCTTCCCCAGTTAATTGTGTGTTGTGTAGCTGTTGCACACAATTGCATAAATACACTTGTACTGAGCTAACTGTGATCTCCGTCACTGTATGTACGGGAAACCAGGTGAAGACTTGTGCTCTCTATCAGGCAGGTTCTGTCTTTCTGAGCTCCCAGATAAGTTGATGGACAAAGAGTGCTAGGTGTCAGGTACATGGTCTCTGATTAACCCCATCCCCAGACTCGGCTCGGGCTTCCGGTGACCAAAGCGGGCGTGGGAATGGGTAAGTGTCATGACACGTGCGGTGTGCTTCCTGAGTCCAGAGAGGCCGGAGCCAACCCTCCATATGTCAGCAGCAGGGAATACCTTAAATGCTAATCTTAAGCTTACATGACAGGAGATCTTCAGATATTTTTGTACCACTGGAGCTGTGGGAGGAAACCTAACTAGCTTAGAGGGCTGGGCACAAGCCACCAGAGTGCTTGAGCTGAACATGTGCAAGGTGTGGGATTGGATTTCTAAATCTTACCTTGGTGGTAAATGGTTTGTGTGTAAGTGTGTGTGTTTCAAATATTTCCCATTAAATGTAGCTGAGGCAGTGAAGGATGCAGGGGAGCAGCCCTGACATGATGATTAATGGATTAATCAGGAGCAGTGTGTCCGTGTCTACATGGCTATCTCCTGCTCTGCCACAACAATAGCTTTGCACCTGAGGGACACAGGCTGTCAGACACACTATGGTACATACGTCCCCGTGTCCCCTGCACGGATAATGACACTGCAGCTGATGCCACGTCAAACCTATGGGTGACTTCTCTCACTGATGATCTCATATGCTTTAAGACTTTGTTCTTGTGTATGTCACAGATGTGACACATTAACACTGTAAGTAACCTTTCCTGCGTTATTTAATTTGAACCCACACTGTGTGTATTTACTCAGAGACGTGTTTACTCACAGCTTCCAAATTTAAGAGGGCAAGCATGGGCGTCCATTGGGAAGTCCTCCAGCTGCATGGGGCATTCTGCTGATATCGTCAGTCTGAAAGGAGAAGTTATGCAGAAAATAAACGATCATTATCATCACCATTTTGTTTTTCAGATACATTTTGTATAAAGAGATGAAAATCAGTGTGTTGCAGATTTTCAACAGCTGACAAAAATAGAACTTTCCCAGCACAGAGCAGTGAGCAGCTGAGTCACCATAGGGAACCATGATGATGCCTATTTTGGAAAAATTACACAATTTCATCTGGAAAAAGAAGCTCGAGAATCATTTAAATATTTGAGCTTCATTTTATGCATCTTGGCTGCCACCTGTCTTAAGAAATTGAAACAAAGCTTTACTCAAAACAAAGCAGAGAATAAAAAGAGCATGAAGTGCTTAGGATGTGTAACTGCTGCCCCTCCACACAGGCAAGTGTGAACCACACAATCTTATCTAATGCTGCCCTCTGCTGGCCGCACTCATAATAGTCAGATCTACTGTCACTATGAAAGTTTCTACAAATATCTACTAATGCCAGGTGACAGTAGGAGTGTGACACTGACCACAAGTCATTTAAATGTCTCCTTCAAAAATGTATAACTAATACTAAGGGTCTACTTATACTCCACAACCTTTACTAACTTTCTGCTACTTTTGTTTGACCAAACATAAATTCTCATTCTCAGATATCCAGTTTAACAAAAAGAGAATGAGAAGCAGGGAAGTGTTAATTCAAGAGGCTGGAGAAGCGTCAGTGATCACTTCTCACTGTTTCACTGAAGCCATTAATCAATTTACAAACTAGTTATTTTCTGCAGATGCATTTATTGATTAATCAACTAATTGTTTCCTATGATAATACACCACCTTCAAAGTAACCATGTGCCATAATGAATTCTTTACATGTTGACACTTTAATTACAGTTAGCTTATGATATTTAAAGTAAAATTCTGAATGCAGGGTGTTTTTTTGTGTGTATATAGTAAATATCAACAATGTGCTATTGCTGCTCTAATCTAAAGATCTGAGTATGTCTACTACCACTGGTAAAACCAAATATACAATGCATACATGAAAGTTAAATGGAGCAGGGAAGGGGGTTTCAGTATATGAAAGGCCATCTGCTGCCTCAGCTGTGAAAATATACAACACAACAACACACACTGACCTTCAAATGTAAATAGTGAGAAGAAGAATAGAAATCCTGAGGCTGGACTCAATGTGTTAAATTACCAAGCACATTATTGTTTTGTTTACTGGTTCATGCAGTGAGTTATGTCATATATTAACTCCCAGTCGTACATCAAACAACGCTTCACAGGGAAATGTCTGGTGTTGTGTATTGTATATTGGAAATCAGTCAGCACTCTGACGTTTACCTTGATTCCCTGTTGAAGAACATGTTGTATGTCTCCATTAAGCTATAATCAGTTGATTTTTGATGAACTGATTGCTTCTCACATGTAATAATTTACAGTTTTTTATCATTGTAACCTCAACACATTTAGGTTCACACATAAGAATCAATGTGGACATGGAACATCTAACTGTTCTTAGACAAATATTTTCATTTTGTCAGTGGAAGTAGAGTAGAAGCGGTTGTTTCAAATTTATTTGAGAAAACAAAAAGTGTTATTATCTAAGTGCAGCACTACCACATGACATATATCCACTTAGGGACTTTACAGTAAATGGGCAGCGCTGAATGGCTTCAATTAGTCAAATATATAGGGTACTGACTTTGCTAAAATCATTAGGACCCAAAAGGACAGTGTAGACAGAAGAAAAACCTAATGGAACAAGATAGGGGAACTGCTGTACACTGGTACATGTTGTGTTTTAGATGAATAGGAAATTATTGTAATCTGCTGTGTAATACTATAAATACATTGCATGTGAGGCATGCACTGCTTTGATCAAAACTGTCTTTCCTCTCAGAGATTTTTTCATGGTACAAGAGCCAGGGCACTGCACAGTACTCACTGTGCCAACAGCCAGTGTTGGAGAGTAATGCATGCATAAAATGTTTCTCTAATAACCTTGTTCCCAGAACGCAAACGCATTAACGGGCCATTGTGCAGCCATTTCTAATGGCTCACAGTGTTTGCAAATGTACTGTAGATTTGTAGCAATTTAAAGTCGGTGGATCAATAGTCATTTTTGACTTGCAGCCTTTTCCATTTCCTCCAACTCCCTTTGTTAATATTTGATTTAGAGGATTTATTGTCCTGATAAGATGATGACCCAGCACTGAACTGAAAGTGGATGTAAATGAGATGATTCCGTCTGTGATGTAATATTACTTTCTATAGCACGGACAGTATTTATTGCTCTCATTTAGTTTATTATATTGAGCTGAATTCCAGAGCTTTTTAATCGGAAAGTTGTGAACTTGTGACTAAAGATTGTGTTGCTTGCTGAACCGACCTCTGAAATGGCCAACATGCAATGTATGGAAAAAATAACAGCAGTTTAGTCAATCATTCAATCATTCGATCATTATTAAAGCAAATTCAATTTCAATTTATAAAAAAGATATAATATCTTCACTGCCGATACACCAGGTAGGATGAACACGTTTTCTAACCTCACTCTGCACCATAGACTCCAGCTCTGCACACAACATCCAGCACTAAAGCAATAAAAAGTGACAGTATATTGTAGAACTGTTTGAGGAGGACTCACTAATGACAAAGAAGAATTAGCTTCAGAGCATTAACACAGGACAAGAGAACAGCCCATTCCAAACAGACACTGTACTAGTACTCTAAAAAATGTAAAGTGGAGACTATGATTGAGTGGAGGAACAGTGCGAAGCCAATTGGTCATGAAGGTTTTCTGTGATGTGGGAGGAGTGAAACCCCCAGTTTCCTGTGTCAGAGTACTGGGTCGAAGCAAACATTTGAGGTTCCTCTGACTATCACCATACAGTGTGGGGACAACACGATGATGCATCAATGCACCACTGAGGCATGTAGTATCAGTGTGTGAGCCGTGTAAGTGCACTAGGGTTCTTAAAAACCATCGTTATGGAAGTATTACGTACTGGTGGAGGTAGTCATTGCTCCAGCTCTTACTGGATTACACAATACTTCTAAACAGCACCCGTCAGGTCTCATGACTCAGTTAGTCTGATTAGCAAAGACGTGTTTATCCTCCTGTCGTCCTATTCAGGATTAAAGATCAACCTGGGAACAGCTTACCTCATGGTGTAGAGGAGCGTTCCGTCGTCTTTGAGCCGCAGCAGTTTGTTGGGTGTCGTCATGTTATGGGCAATGGATTTCTTGCCGTTGAGGAAGAAGGTGTCGGGGGTCCAGATGTTACTGGCCAGGAGATTATTCAGGGGAAGTCTCTCCATCGGGCCTTTAAAACACAGTCTCTCATCTTTCCAGCTTTGGCGGAAAAACACGTCAATAGTGTATTCCTATAAAATAACACAGTTGACACATGTTCATGGAGCCTCATTTCAGGAGAAAGAGGAATCTTAAAACATCACAGTATTAGTACGTAATATATATTATGTACATATTATGTTACAACTGACTCTTTCACACACTGCAGAAAATGTGGTTTCATTTTCATAGAAGAAAGTTCTCACCATTTCAGTGTCAGACACTGGACCGAAGCTTGTGACAAAGATGTTGGTTTTGATCTCCGTCACCTTTTCTGTAAAAAATAGAGTGAGAATAGTAAGCCTTTATGGGAACTTTTTATTTTGGTTAGTGCATGCTTATACGATATTGTATACTTTATTGTCCCCGTCAGGAAATTAGTTTTGAACTCAAATGCTGTGGCTTATGCTTCCATATTTACAAAACAAGTTACATAGCAGCACCAACTGTGTCAATCACAACATTAAAATCAACGTAAAATGTTAAAATAAATAAAATATTGCACACAACCCATAATAAAAGGACGCTTCCTGTGACATAACACAAAATTACAATGTGTCTCTGTCAGTTCTGAACTACATACAGCCGGAGACGCTGTGATAGTGTCTATCTGTATCACATCAGCAGCATCAAACCTATCGATCCTCTTGTTGGCAAATGTGTGGTCTTAAAATACATTAGAACATTGAAGGGGAACGCCATATACAGCACTGATGTAATTCATGTATTGGGTTGTTGACTAGTTAAATTTAAATTTTCCCAAGAAAATATTAGTCTCTAAATGGTTGGAACTGATGACATTTCCTCAGACTCGAGATTGATTTAGAACATGATCCCTCGAGACAGTTCTCCCTGGTCCCTTCTGTGTTTAGTCTGTAGTGATCTTTGTCCTCATCTGTTCCCCACTTTCCTTGTATTTTTCCTCATATTTCTATCCCCTCGTGGCTTCTGTGTCTTTAGATTGCATCTGCCTGCCTGTCAGCCAACTGCTTCATCTATAAGCCAGTAAGTACCACAATAAACTAGAACGGTACTTAGTAGAGAATATATCTCCGCCACGACCCAACAGCCCCCTTAAAGTTAAATTGCACACTGGCAGATACCAGTTCCCTAAATGTGCCTGATTATTTTAAAGTCTCACACATTATTCACTGAGAAATCAAAATATATAAAATAAAATATAAGAAGCTTCCTATCTAAAAAAATATCTTGAATTCTGAACCAAAATTGAAGGTGTTCTTCCCTGACTCATGTTACATCCTTCATTTTGTAATTTCTGTATAATCCTGCTAACTAACTAACTAACGGACAGACAAATTAAAAAATGAAGTCGAAGGTGATGTTTTCATTGCACCTTGTGTACCGGCCTTGGTGCTTTCTGAACTCATAACAGGCCCCAGCTCAGTTAAGAAACTGACTGAGCTTGAATTTTGAGAGCTAAACTACCATTGTTGAACACAATTGTTGACTTCCAGGCTCTTCAGTAAATACTGCACAACATATACTGGAGGCTTTGCACTGTGTTACCACTGACACTGCTGACATTTCCAATTCCCTGCTGAAGCTAAATTATGTACAGTAAGATGGAGAAGTGAATAGAGTAGAATGATCCATAAAACAATTGCAGTAAATGTGGATGTAGATTATTTAACTTTGTCACTTCAGATCACATGTCCGTGCATATGTAACATAAATGTAATGTTGTCAATTCAATGTATTCAATTAAGTTTTAGCATTCTCTATTTCGAGGCTGTTATTTAGAGATATTTTAGATTGTAAAAAAATCTTCACAGTTATTTAAAAGTGAGTAGCAGAACATTTTACGAGGGCAAAACATTGAATATGCATTCTGTCCATTCAGATTGTACTTAGTACTCATTGAGATATAATAACAAAATACTTTAGGTATTGAAGGATTTCTCTCCTAATCTGATTTATGAGAACAATTCACTTTACACAGTGTAATTATCATCCAGGCTTGGCATGGATATATAACTACTGCCTAGTCAAGTAGTTTCTAAAATCAAACTTCTGCATTGCATTAAAGTTATTTCAAGTCCCAATACTGTAAGAAGACTTAGATTAGACTTTGGTGACTCCTAGTGGAGTGTTCTGACATGAATCTTGATGTGTATTTTTTGAGACCAAATACATAAAGTGCTCTCATATGAATATAGAAATAAAATGCATATCGAATAAATCATAATCCCACTATAGATGTGTACTGTATTTTATATTCAGTGCCACACTCTGGATGTATCCGACTTGAATCTAACACCCTGAATCAGTGCAGCTCAGGAAGCTCTGGACAAACATCTGCAGGAGCAGTGTGATACAGAGTGTAGGATTTTATTTTCATACAACACTGTACCACAGAGCTGTAGAACAGAGACGCTTTCTCGATGCTACTTAATGTATTGAACAGAATCAGTGAGAACTTTTCTGCTCTCACCCACACGGGCCTGTATGTGCTGAGAACAATGGAGCTGTTTTTTATTGAGAGCAGTAATGGATTTCTCAAGGTCACACCTATGTGCCTCAGCGTACACTCACAGTGCCATTAAATCATACTTAGAGGAGGTCTACACAGCTGATCATTTGTCGAGGACCTGATGAACAAGGACAGATGGCAGATGTTGCAGTGCGGAGCATTGTTCTGTAAGGACAGTAATCTTTCATGCTGAGACAACACGTCTCTCTCTCATTTAGAGCTTTCTGTATTCTCTGTGTATTAGAATAGAGAGACAAGACACTGTCACGATGCCATAATCAGTTCTCACCTAGCATATGTGTGACTGCATTAATCACCTCAGTGACAGAGGTGTGGAAGCTTCTTTATGCACTGGGCTTACCTCCCAGTCCAGGGCGGAGTCTGTTGTCATATCCATCCAGCAGTCCGTCCAGGATGCGGGTGAAGATGGTGATGTTGTCGTTTAATTCTGCCTCTTTGGGAGTTCCAGTTACATCCTGCGAGATGCTGCACATTAGAGCAAATTATCACTTAGGAGATGAGGGGAAAAAAAACTTAAAATAAGAAATAACTCAGTGTCGCCTCAGAACTTCATTTTTTAAAACTGTAATTCATCATCCGAGCGAATGTGAAAAAGGTATTTCACATTTCCTCAGAGGTGAATAATTCTAAACGTGCCTTTATGAAGTGATTGAGTCAGTTCCTTACCTCAGACGGCAGGTGATGCTCGCCAGTAAGACACAGACCCACAGACGCCTCATTGTAAAGCTGTCGCACATTCCATCACCCATTCCTGAAACGACATGTCCTCACACTTAAAATTATACATTTACTGTAGCACAAGCAACACTGACTGTTTATATATATCAAATAAAGAAGTTTTTACTGAATTTAACTATTTAGAAACTATACATTTCTGTCAATCATATCTTGTCCCAGCAACTACACTGTGTAAACTAAAAAATAAAGTATCTATCAATACAAGAATCAAATAGCAGACGCTGTATTTTTCATTATTGTAGCCTTAAATTTAACTAGATGTTATTGGAGGGATTCATTGGCATGTTAAATACTCAGCTGCACTCTAGGGGTAATTAAATCAAATATTTTCACTACAAAATAAAAAGAAATTGTAATCATGCAAATGCAGCAATACCTGTGCACCTAAAAGTCCCATTCACCTTTCTAAACACAACATCTGGCCTGCAGATGTTTGCTGCTTGTCTGGATAAAACCTGATCATGCAAAGTACCAAGTTCCCCTTCTTCAGCTCAGATTCTCAAACACTGTGTCCTCTCTTTCTTTCTGTACTGGACCCCCCTCCCAGTTCAGACCCTCTCCTCAACCCCACTGATCAGCCTCCTCCACAACTTGATCACTTCTGACAGGACACAGGCTGAGCTGCATGCGCTGTGTTTTCCACCACAAAAGCGTAACGCGTGTGTGAAAATGCCTCACACGCACACACGCACATCTATGACATCTATGCTCTGCAGCCGTCTGAGACCCTCCACACCAGCACCTCTGTAATCCCGCAGTCCTCCCTGCACCGCAGCTGGACTCCACACATACAGTCAATCCCTCCCGGTGTTGTTGCTGTGACTGTGCGCACCCTGCACCAGCATCCATGCACGACTCATACGCGCCCACACCCCCTGAAACACCAACCCACCCTCTCTCAGTACCTCTGCTCCTCTCATCACCAGCGGCCACGCTTCTCTCCAGCAGCAGAAGCAGCAGCAGCAGCAGCAGATCTCGGGTGTTATTCTCTTCACTGTAGCCTATTCTCCTCCAGTGCCCACTCGTCCCACTACATCTCCCAGTGTACAGTACTGGCCTGTGCCGCCGCTGCGCTCTGCTGCACAGGCGCGGAGCCGCAGTTGCCAAATCTTACCACACAAGACGATGCGCAGTCAAACTTCTCCCAGCTGCTCCAGCAGATACCGAAGGTCTCACACGCAGATCGCAGCTCTGTTTCAGCAGCGCGTCACATCCATCCGCGCACAGTGGCCGCGTAACACTGGAGAGCGACAAAGAAAGAGGGAGGAGGAGGAGGAGGAGAAAAAGAAAAAAAAGATGTGGACTAGTGTCACTTTCGGGGATTAAAATGTTGCCGGATAAATAACAGATTATTCCCAACGACACTGGTGCTGAGTGACCATCCTTTGGTTTTACGTAAAAGTACAAAAATCCAACACAGTGTTCGAAGTAAATACAAATACACTGGTGGGAATTAAAGAGGGGAGCGAGCAGTGTGGTGAGAGAAGCAGGAGGATGTGTGGTCAGAGAGAGAGAGATGCTGAGGAGAGATGGCGAGAGGGAGGAGGAGGGGTGCTATGGAGAGAGGGAGAGAGAGAGGGAGAGAGAGAAGGAACGAATAAAAGGATAAAGTTTAATGACAACCATAAACAAACCCTTTCCAACTTTTAATGATATGAATGAATTTAATTATCAATAGATTACATCACTACAAAAATGTCATAGTCTTGACACTGGTAACAATTGGCCACACCCTGTGGTTCTTCAGTGTGTATTTTACATCAGGGGTTCTCAACCTAGGGGTCACCACCCCCTGGGAGGTCACGAGACGCTATATCCATGATATCTTATCGTTTATTAAAAGGCGTCAAACTAACTCTGTCCACACAAGTGTTTCGGCTCTGTATCACTTTTAATCCCCATCCATGCTAACACACCAGACAACTGCTCATGCACACTGGGGATGCACACGCTGGACACAGGAATGGCTCCATCAATTGATTATCCATGGTGCATTCTATACTGGTACCTGAGGCGGATGCCGGTTCTTTTCTTCTGGAAGTGGGTTGTGTGATGTAGGAGCCTGACAAATCAGCGAAGGCTATATGCCACGACCAGAAAGATCCAATCATCGAGTGGTAGTGTGTGTCTATGTCATCGTTTCCAAACAAAGTTTCTGCCTGTCCAGACTAAAACACAGCGCTGGAGTATTCAAACTAAAACAGCAGCATTTTCAAACTTCTCCTCGATAGCCACTCTGAAACTTGCCAAGTGTGTCTAAAGCAGGTTTGATGCATTTACAAATGAAAACGCAGTGGTATAGATATGTGCCAGAGGGTTTGTAAGATGATTTCCAGAAATCAAATTTTAGATCATATCCATAATTATTCCGAAAGCTAAAAAACAAACTAGTTAACTTTGAAATAAACCTTGCAAATAATCCTCAGCCTTCTGATTTCCTTTGTATCCATGTGACCTCTGAGGCGACTACGACATCAGTCAATTTAACGCACAACAGGAACCTGCAACAAGGGGCAATTATTTTGTGAATTAGCTCACATCAATATCCTTTGAGATAATGGAAGTCGCAAATCTCAGGCATGGCTACGTTGGGGGTCGGGACTGAAAAGTATGGGAACCGCTGTGTTACATGAAATGCATTGACAATGTGTGAAGCTCGAAGCTCACAAGCTGTTTGTTACTTCTAGTAGTAGACAAGTTGATGTATATCAGCTCTGAAGTCATTATATGGTAAATATTTTACTCTAAGCAGAATTGAAAATTTAACTGCATCATATCAATACAATTTCCTAAAAAAAAGAAACTAAAATATGCAGATTTGTGTGTTACAGTGTCTGAATGCATATTTACCCTGATTTAAGACAGTGGAGCAAAAGAAGGACGGATGCATCCTTAGTCACCCATATTGTGATATCCTCATATACGATTTTTTTCCCATTGTTGGTTGTTCGACCTACTCCAGCGTTGACTTAAGTAGGACACATACCTGAAAAAAAACAAGCCCTGATTTTTTATTAAAAGACAAAAAGTCACACACAAACAAAACTTCACACTCCAGCATTCAGGCATTCACATGCACCTGGATTACAGTAAATTTAGTCCAATTGAGTAAATTAAAGAAGGGATTTCTTTGACTGTTAAAAAATAGATTGTTTGTGAAGCTGTAGCATCTTTATTGATTTCAACCGAGCACGCCTCCCGGGATTTCTGTTTCCTGTTTTCTTGTGATTTATGATTGGATTCTGAAACAAATCTCCAGCGGAGACATAGAAGAGGTCAGGCAAACAGACAGTGACAGTCAGCAGAAAATAATGTCTTGCTTTTTATTGTGTGTTTACAGGAACGCTGTTGATGGGAACAAAAAGCTGTACGCCATCTATGATACAAGGTAAGAATGTTGTTTTCTTTAGGAAAAGAATGAAAGAAAAGCGTCTTGAAGCAGTTGAGTGAGTTTATCAGAAATCCAGCAGAAGGCCATGGTGTATTTCCTGATTGAACAGAAGAAGAAACTTAGACATACCTGGACTCCTCTAGAATACAGAAAACATGTCAAATGTCTTGAACCAAATATAAAGCGGTGTTGATGTAAACATTTCTCAACAGCAGATACTGTGGTCAATTACAGGATAATGATAATCTGACTAATGTTAGCTAACAATAGCCACCACAAGCTAATGGTCATACCAGACTAAATCAGTTTTCTGCTGAGTCATTTGAGCTGGGAGTGAATGCCGATTTCATTCATTTCCTTTGCACACATGGCCAGATGTTAGCTGTTAGTATGTGTTAGTGGATTTTTTGGCCAGTGGAAAAGGGGCTTAAAGGGATAATTCACCCAAAAATGTTTTAATTCACTCATTACCGTATCTACTCACCACCATGCTGATGCAGGGGTGGGTGAAATGTTTGAGTCCAAAAAACCCTTTTGGACTTTCAGGGGTAAACAGTGTTGCAGCCAAATCCAATCCAATTTAAGTAAATGGCGACTACCTCTTCAAACGTAAAAACATAAAATACCTCCATACTGCTCCTGTGGAGTCATCCAAGAATCCAGAAGCCCCGGAATTCAAATTCAACTGGAAACTGTATCATTTACAGCATGTTTTTGACCTAAACGTCCTCTGATATCCTCCTCACCATGAGCCACGTTCACAAGCTCACATGCCTCAACTATCCCTTTAAGAGGAAGATTTTTTTAAATATACTCGTTGGAAAGTCAAAGTCTTGCTCTAAGAAATTAGCAGTATTTTACCTATAGATAATGCAGAAACACCGGGTGTGTGGGGGTCTCCAGTCCACCCTGCCCCTGCCCCTGCACAGTTTTTGCGCTCCTGCTGTGTGTGTCAGATCAGGACAGTCTCTTTAATTCGCTCACACAGTATACTGTATGCAGACTGGCACGTGTCTTATCATCGTTACCGGGACAGCCTCGCGCATATGAAGAGTCATTCTCCAAACTCGGAGAGTATCCGGAGCTGAGGAGGCTCCCTGTGGGGACGAGTGTTCTGAACCCGGGCGACTAGAAAGTGTATTTTACGCACGCAGCTCCTCTGGGAACTGGACTTGTGAATTCCTGTTGTTGTAACGAATTATTTGAGAAACCCCAGTTTGTTGTGAGCCGCTAGCAGACAGACAGACAGACAGACAGACAGACAGGCAGGCAGGCAGGCAGGCAGGAGGGGGAGGATGGGGACGCGGAGCAGCCTGAGTGAGGCTCCACAGGCGGAGATGAACACATCTGCCATCCAAGTCAGCGCGCCTCCACCTGCTGGTAAGGCGGGCTGAGGGTTTCATGATGTGGAAGGAGTCTCCCCTGATTTCACGGAGCAGAGTGTGAGCACCGTGGCTTCCGCTTGTTATCATTTGTTGAGCGCTGAGCAGCAGCCATCGGTCCGCACACAGCTCCGGAGGGATGCGGTGCAGCCACAGAACAGGGCTCTTTGACGTCCTCTCTGTGCCGCTGGTCGTGGCGCTGATGTGCGGTGCCCAGAGGTGAGTGTCCGGGGCATCACACCGGACTGAAGTCAGCCTCTCCTCCTGCAGAAACACTCACCGTCCCCGTTGTTCTCTTCTCTTGCAGCGTCAACGAACCGGGGAACATGTCTTTTGTCAAAGAGACTGTGGACAAACTGTTGAAAGGATATGATATTCGTCTCCGGCCAGACTTTGGAGGTACGTCTCTGACCCCTCATCATCAACTCTGCTGCTTCATCAGAGTCCATCTACAACTTTACTCTGCTTGTTTTTCCCAAGGTGCACCGGTGGCTGTTGGCATGAGTATAGACGTGGCCAGTATAGACATGGTGTCAGAGGTCAACATGGTGAGTTCCATGAAAATCTCCGTTCACATTTATTCGACTTTAGAAGACTGATTTTACTTTCAGTAGCCACAATCACTTCGTGTATATTCTCATTATGGGTGATTTAGTTCATTAGAATCTGCTGCACCATTTTCTTAATTAGCCCCCTTTATGAATGGTTTATAAATTGTTTCATTATTGATTAGTTAATCATTTGCTGCATCAGTCATTATTTGCTATTTGCTTGTTGATCTTAACTGTGTCTTGAATAAAACATATTTGTAAATGTATTTTTAAATCAAGGGTTTCTCATGTCAGCATCTATAGTGGTCAGTCATTAGCAGGCTTCAATGATCCACCCAGAAGCTAAGTGATCTAACAACCCATTAGAGCAAGCACTCGCCAACCCTAGAGTTGGTCTGATGAAAAACATGTAAAGCTGATTTTAAGTAATAATAAAGCCATGACAATTCATAAGTACATTATTTATTAACCATTGTTAAAGCAATGATTTATAAAACCACCTTAAAGGGTGACTAAGCAAATGTTAGTTCATCTATATCTAATAGTATAAAAGAAATTTATCTTTTTTACCAAAAAACATAGACAATTTATAAATCATTATTTATAGTTTTTGTATTGCCTGGAGTGGTTTGGTCATCAGATTCAGAGAGTTCTGTGGCTTTACATCCTGGTTCATTAGCCGTGCGGCTTTCTGTGATGCCCTAATAGTCCAGTTTAAAGATAAGGTCGAGAAAGTCCTGTGGACATATTTTCTCCTTTCAAACATGGAAGACAGATTAGACCTCCAGAGGTGGACACATTTCGTTTACCTCACTGGGGGCTCTGTCAGGAGCAGTGGTCCTCATGGGACCCAAAGCTTGGTCCTTATCAGGCAAGAGGTCATTTCTAAGGTTCTAGTTAAGGGACAAGCTGTGACTTGAGGAAAAGTCAATTTAGGGTTTGACACGAATTGGTTATGGCTAAGGTTAGGGTTAGGTTCTCCTTAATGACTAGAGGTCAGTGCTATCTCCTATAAAGGATAACTGTGCCTTTGTGTGTGTTTCCGTTTGCGGGCTGGCACAACATGGCTTCTACAGTTTAATGCCTGTATGCCATCTATCATGGGTCTGAACTGCTGACAGAGCCTGATGCCTGATCACATGGTGCCAAGAGGAAATAGCCCCTGACATGCTGCCCTGACAAGTGTGTGATGAAATGTACCCGCAGCGCATTTTAATGCATCTCTACGCAGCAGCAGAGACAGTGAGACCCACAGAGACGCTTAACACTTCCCTCCAGTGACAACTCAGATTCATATTTTGGAATTGAGTTAGATGCTTGAGTTAGCTTCGGTCAAATATTATGGTGATATTAAAACACGCAGCCTAGGTTTATTTTATTGTTACAGCAGTCAGATGAAGGTTAAGAGGTTTTCATTATCTGCACAATTTGGATTTTGTGAGTGGATTTCTTAAAAGATTAAGTCTAAGGATAGTAAAATAAATGCAGTAGACGAGGGAGAGAGATGAGATGAGATTTTCATCAAAAGTCATGCCCCTTCTTGAAGTCATAACTCTAAATTCTTTTTTAAAGATTCAATGTGACTTACACTTCCATCTCCATCACATCTTCTATGTCCATTGTGAATAAACGTCTAACCCTTTGTGATCCTGGAAAGAAAATGCTCCTCAAAACTCAGAAAATTGCCTGAGAATCATCATGTTTTAAATGTTCTTCAGTATTAAAGTGATGCAGTGACAGCTTCATGAACATCAATGGGTTCATTTCAAACAGGAACAGCTAGCAGCTTATTCAGCATAGTTTTAATGCATCTGTCTAAATTGCATCTTGGGGTGGAGCAACAGTTTTAGACTTTAAAGATCTCTGAAATACAATAACTTGGGTTACGTTCGTTTGAATAGAGTCCTCTGTTTGCTTCAAAATGTGACCATTTAACATGAATGCTATAATGTCATTTTAAAATACACATGAAAATCCATAATCACTTAACTAAATTTCAGCACTTAACGGGCCAAACTTAATTTCCCTATTAGAAACCACACCTGCTTTTAACTGGAGAGTTTCTGTCTGTGCCATCATACTGTATAAAAGCACTTGGCTGCCTCAGTGGTGATCATATCAGGCTGTGTTAATGGTTTTGTTAATGGTTCAGCTCTTCATCAGGCTGGAGGAACTGGACATCTCTGGAAAATGCTGACTTTCTCTCAGCATGTGCTAAAAAGGATTTACTCGTGATATGAATGATTGGACACCAGGAGGTGATTACATTCTGTTCATGAGGGATTATAAAAAGAGTCACTTGTTTTATTTGTACAAAAATATCCACTATTGAAGATTTGTGCAGTGACAAACACACAGGAACCTTCAGGATTTCTGTTCCAACATGTCGAAACAAACTGACCTCACATCAGTTCTTCCATGTTTTTATTAAAGTCTGGAGGCATGATTCAAGTATAACAGGGCACTCTGAGCTGCAAAGTGCCCTGAACAGAAGCAGTTTATCCTCAACAACATTATTTCGTCCCCTTGTGTCTTCGTCCTGAGAGCTTCTGTGGCTTTTCCTCACATTTTGTTCACAAGAGCATCTCAAGGCTACAGATGGATGTGTGTGTTCAAAAGGAATCTAAAAAAAATATTAAATTGCCGGAAACTCTTTGTACCTGATACAATGTTTTGTGACAGATGTTATTTAAAGGTAGTTACTGCAGGGTTTCCATATATTGATTAAGTTTGGGCAGGCTGCTGAAGGTACATTTACAACCACTTAAGTCAATTCATAGTATTTCAAAAATTATCTGGAATCAGTCTCTATCAGTCACTGCAAAACATCCGCAACCTGCACCCATCACTCTGTCAATCCACATATCGATAGGCTGCTCCCTCTCAAGCAAAATGATGTTTCATTGTAAACTCTTCTTGTGTTGTTGTTTTGGCAAGGCGAGGGACTTTTGCTTGCTTTTTGGTGGTTTGCCAATCACTCGCATGGAGGAAAAGACTATAAAGGGATCATTAGCTGCCTGTTATTCATTGGCAATGATGCTTCAGTAAACTGATTGTATTCTGTGTCGACTCTTTCATGGAGTCAGAGAGATTAGTATCTGACTTGAGTAAGAGTTACATTAGATGCTTGTTGATGAATTCTCACTTGTGGTATATACTGTTAATGAAGCAAAGTAAGAGTCATATATACACCATAGATGTCATTAGTCATTTACTATAGCAAAACTCATTACAGGACTTTGACACAATTTGATTTGATTTGAAAAAAATGAGAAATATTTGGAAACTTAAGTAGCATATTTAGTAAAGAGAAATTAAAAACTAATGAAGACATTACCGAAAAAACATTACCACTACTTAAATATTCATAGGTAATTATTTATGCACAATCCAAAATATGTTGTGAACCTAACAGAATTCTAGGTAAATCTAATTCTACAGATACATAAACTTCGTCTTAAACCCTCAATGCAGTTCTTCCTCGAGTGAACAAAATCAAGGTTAATACGATTCTGTTTTGTTAAACACAGAAAATGTGTTTTCTTATTCTTTTGACTTCTTAACATATGGAAATATTCAAAATTGGGTGAGAAGAGATGAGCAGGGCTGTATTAGAAATCTCTGTACTTGACAGATTCCACAGTGAGATATGTGCAACAAGGAGTCAGTCCATCATTCACCAGGAGGAGTGTTGACGCCACATTCCCTCTGATTTACTGTAGCTGCAGCAGCCTCAGCAACAATAACTGCTGTTTGTCCTTCCTGCACTTTAAAACATTACTTCTCATCTACTCGTGTCCCTTTGTTGGTCCTGTTATTGCCTTCTTTGTCATGGCTCTAAATGGTCCCAGCTCTGTGTTTAAGGCCCGGTGAGCTTCTCTCTGAACAATATACTACAGTTAAGTGTTAAAGTTTGCCCCCACAATCTCAGACTGTGTCTTACTAGCTTAGTTTTCACAAGGTGGTTGGGTCTGGAAAACATCTACTCACAGTCAGTTGAGTGCAGATGTATTTTGTAACAATCACTGATGTATGGAGAGGGTTTGGATGCTGAAGTGACTCAAAACCTGTGAACAAATGCAAAGTTGATTAATTAAAGCAACTGAATATATGGCATCACTTTCTTCCGGTGGTGGAGATTTGACGTTTCCAGAATAGCTGCCATGTCTGTCCAGTTAAAAGATGTGAAGCCAACACCAGCGACAGCTCAGTGAGAGACGTGTCCAGTCGGATCATGGACGGCTTCATTTTGATGTCCAAGTGAAAATGAGAACTGTCAGTCATCTATTCAGCAGCTTGGCAGAAGAGCCATGAGTCCTGAGTAAATCCTTATTGAGCCTCACCAGACGACACTGAGAGGAGACACACTTTGTCCAAACTAAAGAAAAAAAGCTGAATAAATGCAAGATAATTATTCTAATTAGAAAAATATGTGTCTTTTTTGGCATTGTTTTTATTTTGGTTTACGTGAAAGAAGAAAAAAGTGCAAGCCTTTGGTCATTGCTGAACACTTTCTACACTCACTGATCATGAATTATCTGCCTCCTCTCTGCAGCTCGCCTTTGACTTGCTGACTGGACGCTTTTAAAGTGTGTATCGGTGAGAAAGTGTGTGTGAGTGTGTTCGACATGCATGCCTGTTATTTGCAGTAACCTTTAATCGGTTAATAGGATCAGAGACCACATTTAGTAATTCAGTGTCAGTTGTTGGTGCAGAGTTGAGAGTGGTGCTGTAAGAGATCTGCAGTGCACTGTGTGTCTGTGTCGTCTCTTCGCCTCTACACGTTCTCCTGTGAGTGCCGTGTCTCTTATTGTCTCCAGTTGTAGTCCAGAGGAAAACAAGAAAGTCACATCAGATTTTCATTCCCACTTTTCACACCCTGAGCTGTGATTGAGTCACGATCAGTGTTTACTGGGTCATTTCACTGGACCTCTTATTTTGAAATTAGACATTACAGCTGAATACCTTGTCTCTGTTGACACACTCATCGCAATGTC